TGAAATCTCCAAGATTCTCCATATTCTGTGCATATACACTGATGATCTGTATGGCTGGAAGAGCTCCATACAAAAGGATACTGTGGAGGAAAAAATCGTGAAAGTGTAAAACAGAGGTTAATGCACAGTGAAGGGCTGCAGTTAGATGTATCTTTGCAGGTGTCCACAGAGCAACTAGGAGACTTGCTAAGTTTCTAAAATCCCATTTTGGCACTTACTGGGCTGAATATAAATCCTGAATTAGTGCTCCAGGGGGGTCACTTTTGTGGTKGTTCCAGAGTCCCTTTCAGGAGACCATGGGAGCTAAAATACAGCCAAAATCGTTGTGAATGACTCAGGCTTTCCACAACCGCCTGTGTTCTGAATAGCAACAGGAGGGGAAAGAGGAGGCATTCAGTATATTTGCGCTGTAGTGGCTGCTGACAAACCACTCTTCCATCAGCCTTGCTATGGCTCTAGTTTTCTAAGGTTGGTGAGAAAATTCCCATGCTTATCTTTTACTGGCATTTGCAACATTATCTGCAACTCTCCTGTGACTTTCTTACATGCCTTTGAAAATCTACTCCCATCCTAAGAGTRCCCTTGCATTTATTGGCCTCTCTCTTTTATCCTCTTACGTCCAACCAGGAATTTCAGGGCAAATATTTGTGTTAAGAGCCTGTAACCAAGAATAAGGTTTGTGTAACAGAGCGTGGATTAAACCACTTGCAGAACAAACCCTTGCATAACCATCCAGCTTATCAGCATTTCCTTAGACTGCATGCTTGGGCTATCGTAAGAATCTGGGAACTGCAAAGGGTCCTTCCTTATGGTTCAGGAGAATCCCCAAAGTTTTGCATAGATGGGTGCATGTGCAGACCCTCTTCATCTATCTGTGTGCTGCAGTACTGACTGTGTTATAAAGTCTGCTCACGAGGCACAAGCAATTGCAAACCAATAGCAAAACCCAAGTACCCTTCATTTATTACCTATCTTGGATTTCAGCAGACAAAAGCAACACCTATGCCGCTTCCCTATTTTTCATAAATTAAAGTTTTCTGCAAGCTTTTTTTTTTCAACATCAGGATTTTAATGGCTGACAGACACTTATGCAAGTAAGGCACATTTTGGGTTTCCCCTCAGAAATCCTCTACAGTTGTCACTCTTCTACATTCACTTGCAATGATCCTACAGATTTGCTATGGAAGAGAACAGATATAAGTAACAGGAGGCAAGGAGATTAAGTTCAAACTATCTCATGGCTGATTTCAGTGATTTTTTTTTCTAATGCGATAAAAGTGGACACTGGAGAATATTCAGGGATAGACTGCTGCTGTATTTAATGGGAATGTGGACAATATGAGTTAGAAGTTCAGTGCTATATCCTCTCTTGTTTGACACAGCCCTTTAATATGGCCAGCTAGTACCTGTAACCTTCATCAGGGAACTTCAAAATGAGTGGAAAACAAATGGGACAGATTTTTTTTTCCRTTTAGGAACTGATTGCCTGTGTCCATGGAGGTATGCTGACAACAGCAGGACTTTAACATTTAGGGTTCAGATATAGTTTGAACTTTGGTGCTTATGTCTGAATGTATGAGAACATGTACCCAGATTGATATCAGAGGCATGGCCCTTATATACTTCACATATTTTGATGATGCTGTAATTAGACTTACAAAAGGGGAGGTCAGGGACAAATCATACTAGCAGATGCTAGGTTTTTCCTAGTGGAAATTGATAGGGAGATTATTTTGCAAACCCATTACCCTTCTCCCATTACAGGTTGTGCAGATCACTTCTTCCTCAAGGATTTTGTAATACTGAATGTCTCCTTTGAACACCAGCTTGCTTATGAGTGCCAGAAATGAGGTGAAAACTATATCTGAAATTCTTTGAGATGAGCTGCTGTATATTCCCTTTGCAGAATTAAGAGCCTTGGAGGATATTACTTGTTGTGAACTCCCCTGATCTTTCCATCCCAGAGCTTTCTAAAGATGTTATAGGAAAGGGATCACAAATTCTGGTTTCTTCTGTTAATAAAATTCATAAAATGCTTAAGTAAGCAGACCATGGGTGTGGGTGGTGTCATTTGGAGACACTTTAACTACAGGTGTCTTTCATCTCATCTTTAGATGTTCCATAATTTTCTGTAATATGAGACCRTATCTTGAATTTATCTGTAGCACAAGAAAAATCCTTGAGAAAAGGAGCCACGAACTGCACAAACAAAGTTAGCAAATTCCCCCGTGTGACTATTTCTAGATGACTGCGGTGAAAAACAGCTCGTCGAGGTATAAATGTTACTAAAAGCAGATTTATTGCTTCATGTAGCAGTGCTATAGCAGACTGTGAGGAACACAGACTTGAAAGCAGGTTGTGCATCTTCTGAGGCTTGAAAGAAGCGGGGTAAATCTGGGAATGTGTGATCACCACATGCTTAAGAGAGCTGGCATTGCAGGCATGACACTAAGGGCTGCTGGAAATGCAGACATGTGAGTGTTTGGTATTGACTTTAATAGGAGCCAGTGCAGATTTCTTATACTGATAACTGGAATAAAGTTATGATGCTGTAAAAGATGCAAGCATGTAGGATGTCCAAGACCTCCTGTAAAAGATTCTGGGAAACTATTTAGGGATTTTTTCCAGGTTTTAAAATAGTAAGACACTAAAAACAGACAAATGAGCACCAAGGCAGTATTTAACCAGAATGTTTACTATTCACTGGTGTTTGTTTTTGGAAATAACTATGTAACTAGTGTGGTTCTTCTAAGAAAGAAGTGCTTTGATAAACCATCAGTGCTGCATTCAAGCACATGCCCTTTCAAACCTGGAAAGCATTCTCCATGGGGGGGAAAAAAAAAGAAACACCTTAGTGAAGAGACTTATGGTGGGTTTTGGGAGACAAAGTCACGCTTTCAAAACCGCTGTGTGAGGGTGGGTTGAGGGGCAGAACAGCCCAGTAGTTGTGAGGAGGAATCCTCAGCTCCATGTGTTATTTGGATTCCCGGCTGTGCAATGCGGTGTTTGCTCGTTGCCGCGCTGGCCAGGAGTCACGCAGAGCCAAGGAGCCGGAGTAACATCTGTTGGATTTGAGGTCGTCCGCACCGGGACAGGTTGTCACCGCGCAGTGTGAACATCTGCTCTGCGCAGATGGACCGTTTTGCTGCTCGCCTCACACCAGGGCCCTTTCCCTGCAAAACGGTGGTCCGAGAGCCTGCGCTGGGGTGGAGGCAATTGGGGCAGTTTGGGGAAAGTTTGACTGCCAGGGACTTCATAGAACATTTCTGAGTTCTATTCTTTTTTTTTTTTTCCTTTTTTTTTTTTTTTTTTTTTTTTTTTTTTTTTTTTTTTTTAGATTTTTTTTTTTTTTTTTTTTTTTTTTTGCTTTTATAAAAAAAAGACAGAATAGGCATAGGGTAGGCTTGAATTGATCTGGCTTTTTTTTTGTTGTTTATTTTTCCTCTGCTTTTCATTAATGCAGCCCAGAAAGAGTTCACACAGTCTGCTGGAAGGCTTTCGCTCTGGAATCAGAGAATATTTGGGGTTAGAAGGAGACTTTTGAGGCTGTCTAGTCCAGCCCCTTGCCCACAGCACAGCCAACTTGGAAATGGGCTCTGAGAAGGGAAATTTAGTATTCTGAGAAACTAAGTATGAGCATGGCATCTGTGACAGGAGCAGCTCACATCCTTATTAAAAGATGAGGGTACAAAAAGTCTCTCTTACTAATATTCAGAAAATGTTCTGAATTAAAAAAAAATATATATAACCCCCTTTAATTGATAATATCTGTAGGAAACACACTAGCACCTGAAATACTATCTTATTAATGACTGTCACAAGTGAATCCAAGCACATAATTGCTTTCTTTAATTTAATTGAGGGAGGGGAACATTGCAGATGCTGCCTGAYGGGACAGACACAGAGCAGTGTCAGAGGAAGCAGCCTGTGTCGGGAATTAAACCATTGCCAGGAYGGAGAATATTCCCTATCAGCCACAGGGAAGCCGTGGCTTTGCCTCCCCGGATTCCAGCCCGTCTCGAATCGCCGGGRGCTTTGAACGGGAGCCAGGGCCGCGGCGGCCGTTGCGGGATGCCGRGCAGCCCCGCGGCAGGCGGCGGCTCCGCGGCCCTGCTCGCTCTCACAAGGAGCTCCACACAYGGCGACACCGCAGCAGTGTCGCCAAGGGGGCTCTCGATGGCCTCTCTGCCTCCCGGGCTGCCGTTTAACCCCTCTGGGAGCTCTGGGGGTGGGTGACGGTTGGGCGCGGGGCGGCGACCGTTTCGCAGGGGAGTGACCTTAGGGGAGCGGGGCTACCGTTGGGCAGGGGAGTGTCCGTTCGGCAGAGGGGGCGACCGTTGGGCAGGGGAGTGACCGTTGGGAAGGGGGGGCGACCGTTGGGAAGGGGGGGCGACCGTTGGGCAGGGG